TAGGCTTCCAGGTCAGGAGTTTCTGATAGTTGGTCTCGGCATCAACCCGCAGCGGTCAGGAGATTGGCGGAGGGCTCTTATTAGCCTGGGGTTCGCTTGCATGCACATGTCAAGGCGCGCGCGGACGAGCGCACGCATTTCGGAACGCGCGTCACGCATTGGCACCGGTTCTATGACTGCCCCAGGTGTGCGCAGCTCCGAAGGGAGGAGAAATGATGGCCAGATATCTCCTCCCCACCCTTCCTTTCGTTTCCCCTGCGCGGACGTCCTGAGGAAAATCAGCTTCGGTTTGCTAGTGTGCTCCCTGGTTGGAGGTTCCCTGGCTACGCGTTCGTTGACGATTCGTGACTTCACTCGCAGTTCCAAGGGTTCCAAAGCGCAGGGCGGTCGGCGGTTCAGAGAGACCGTGGTGGCCACCCCATCGGCGCCACGCACGGCGCAGTTCCACTTCGCGCTGCCACAGGACAGGCGGCTCGGGACGGAGAGGACTGGGCTTTCCGAATGGTTGCTTCTTTCAGTGAATGGTCGGGTGATCATACTTTCCCAGTGATCGCGGATTGTTCAGGCACGCTCAATTGTGCTAGAAATTCGAGTGACGCCTTTGGGACAGGCAACCCGAGGAAGCTAATTTGGTAAGACTAGTGGCAAGGCATAGGCAACAGGGCTTGTGTCTAAAATGTTGATGCTCACAGGAGTACAGCTTCCGCCACCTCTGACCATGACGAATGGCTAACTAAAGGCAATGCGATGGCCGACAAGTGGGCCAACAGAGGAGCCATGCTTTGGAATGTTTCACAGGATCACCGTGACTTTGTTTCGGGCGGCGATCGCATCGTCGCTGACACTGTTAGGTGGCAAATTTCACACCAGCCCATCTCACAGCAGCAACTCTCGCGAAGCATGCCGACTCGTGTTTTTCAGGCGTGTGTCCGCTTGGCCCCGCGGTTCTCCCCTGTTCCTCCTTCCTCCCGCCTCCTTGTACATCCTCCTTGTGAGGGGAGCGGGAGAAGGACGAGGCGGAGGAGGAGGGAGAGAAAGCGCTCCTCGTGATTTGAGTCGTTTGGGGTTTCTCGTCCTGGTGTGAGTCGTTCGGGCCCTTCTTCCTGGTGTGAGTCGTTCGGGCTCTTCGTGGTGTGAGTCGTTCGGGCTCTTCGTCCTGGTGTGAGTCGTTCGGGCTTCTCGTGGTGTGAGTTGTTCGGGCCCCTCATCCTGGTGTGAGTCGTTCGGGCCCCTCCTCCTGGTGTGACTCGTTCGGGCTCCTCGTGGTGTGAGTCGTTCGGGGCCCGCGTCGTGGTGTGAGTCCTTCGGGCTCCTCGTGGTGTGAGTCGTTCGGGCGCCTCGTCCTGGTGTGAGTCGTTCGGGCCCCTCTTTGTGGTGTGAGTCGTTCGGGCTCTTCGTGGCGTGAGTCGTTCGGGCCCCTCGTCCTGATGTGAGTCGTTCGGGCTCCTCGTGGGGCCTCTTGGGGGCCTCTTGGAGCCTCGTGGGGCCTCTTGGGGGCCTCTTGGGGGCCTCTTGGGGGACTCTTTGGGGCCTCTTGGGGCCTCGTGGGGCCTCTTGGGGGCCTCTTGGGGGCCTCTTGGGGGCATCTTGGGGCCTCGTGGGGCCTCTTGGGGGCCTCTTGGGGGCCTCTTGGGGGCCTCTTGGGGCCGCTTGGGGGCCTCTGGGGGGCGTCTTGGAGGCCTCTTGGGAGCCTCCTGGGGGCCTCTTGGGGCCATCTTGGGGCCTCCTGCGACCTCCGCAGAAGCGCAAAGGAGAGCTGCCCCCTGAGAAGGACAAAATGAGCCCAAAACCTTAGTAAAATCAATGATTTTGCTATGAGGGAAGATGAGCGCGGCCCCCTCAGATAGCCAAAATGGGGCCGAAACCCTCGTAAAATCATTGATTTCTGCTTCAAAGACGAGCAGAGGGGCCAAACTCCCCCCCCCCTCGGGGCCAGAATCCTCGTGAGGGTCGTCGTTTTTTGGCCCTCCGAGGAGTCGAAATGGACCCCCCCGACACCACCCCGGAATCCCTGTCCAGGTCCAGGGGGAGGGGGTAGGGGGAGGGGTAAACCCCTCCCCGAAGGGGAAGAAGGGGGGTTGAGGACAGAGCGGGCTCTCTAAACCACTCACGCCCAAAGGGCTGGTGGGATTTGGCGTCAGGAAGTCTTCGGACAACTGGAGCAACCGGATTCGCAGAAAATTGCTGGCACGGGGGAGGACGTGTTGGACGTGGGCCTTCCTCAGGGCCTAAGTCAAGCCTGTCTGGAGGAAGGGGTGGCGTCCTTTGCAGACTGTCCAATGGCTGATGGGGGCTGAGACTGCCCCTCTGCTCCGAGCCCTCCCCCTCCTGCCTCGAAGCCCGAGCCGTCGGATGGCGCAGATGATTATTTTGTGTCTGCCACTGGTGTCCCCTGGGGAACTCGGGCGCACTCCGCTGTGCAAGCCACTGTGTCGGACCCTGGCCACGGCCTCCCCGACCTCTCGTTCTGAAATTTTGTGGGGTCCCGGCGCATGTCTGCGAGGGGCTTTCAAAGAGCGTGCAGTGGTGCGAAGCACCAAGGGCTCAAGACCCTGCGCTCCAAGCTGCGCACAGTTTTGTTCAAGGGCGCCCTCGAGGGCGCGAAGTTATTCGCGCTTCTCGCTTCGCGGTTCGGCACCGGTTCCTCCTTGTCCTCCTCTTCTCCCCTGGGAGGCGGCGCGAGAGCGCGAAGTTGGTCTCACTTCGCGCTTCGCGCAGCGCGAAGCGCGAAGTCGGGAGCCCTTGGTTGTTCCCTGGGCGCACGCATGCCAGAGCTGAAGTTGGCATGGCCTTCGGACCGCCCCTCGCCACGCGTGCCGTTTTGGGGGGTCCGTTGGTTGAGCCCGGGCCCGACGGCCCAGGCTGCCGCGCTTGACCAGTGGATCCGCCAGGGAGCACGGTTCGACCGAGGCGGCCCACGGCAAGGAAGGGGGGTCAGCAGGTGAGCTCACGCTCGCTGCGCCTCCTGGGGCTGGAAGCCCCTGTCGTGGCCGAGCTGCACGGTGTTGCCGCCCTTGATGGCCTCGCGAGGTGGGGAATGAGCCTGCCAGGCGATTCGGGTGGAGGCTGCTGAGTTCGGTGGTAGCAACTGAGCTCTTCTTTTGCGCCAGGTGGCGAGGGGCACCCTGCTGTGCCCGCATTGCCAGCACCCTCAACACCCTTGGTCTTCTTGTCGTTCTCCCTCCTCGGTATCGCACTGCTCCTCCCCCTCTCCTCCCTCCTCCTCCGCCTCCTCCTCCTCCTCCTCTCCTCCTCCTCCTCCTCCTCCTCCTCCTCCTCCTCCTCCTTTTCCTCGTCCCTCCTCCTCGTTCTCCTCTACTTCTCCGTTTCCTCCTCCTCCCGGCCGGCACATTTGGATCATGGTCAGGAGGATTACGCCGTTCCGCCAGCTCGCTGAGAAATATTAGGCGGTCACCTTATCGACCGGCCATGCCGTTTTGGTGGTCGGAAGCTCAGGACCAAGTGGCGAGCCCGCACAGCGGGATGCATGGCCTCCCCCCCTGGAGGATTTTGCATGCAGATCTCCTAATCATTGTCGTTTTTGGGGGTACCGTGGCAGCGTGGGGGGAGTGTTGGAGCCGCATTGGATTTGCATTGGGCAGTCTTGTAGCCGTTTGGGGGTTGATTTGGAAGCGAGCCACAGGATTTCTGGGGCAACATTTGGGCCATCTAGGGACATATTGGGCTGCCTGGGGGACTTCTGGAAGTTCCCGTGACCTTCTTGGAGACGTCTGGAAGTAATAAGGTTAGCTGGCAACCAACACAACGGGAAGTGGCAACACAATCGCTGAACAGCCTTGAGATTCCAGTAGATTGGGCGTGTTTGGGGTCCCTCTTGGGCCTAGAATGGTCGTAGGCTCTCTTCATGTGTCTTGAGTCGCTCTTGAGGCCTCTGAGGCGTGCTTGCGTCCTTCTTGGGCGGTCCTGCATGGGTGTCGTTGGCATGCTGGGGGCCGCGGAGGGTGGATCTGCAGGCCCTGAGGACCGGGGAGGTGCGCTCAAGAGCTCGCCCCCCCCCCTTGGCCCACGCCGACCCCCCCCGCCACTCTTGAACGGGGCCGTGGACTCTTGGCGAGGGGAGTCGCGCCTCCCCACTCATCCCTCCTCCCTCCTCCCTCCTCCTCCTCCTCCTCCTCCTCCTCCTCCTCCTCCTCCTCCTCCTCCTCCTCCTCCTCCTCCTCCTCCTCCTCCCCCTCCCCTCCCCCTCCCCCCTCCTCCCCCTCCTCCTCCTCCTCCTCCTCCTTCTCCTCCTCCTCCTCCTCCTCCTCCTCCTCCTCCTCCTCCTCCTCCTCCTCCTCACCTGACCCTCCCCAGCAGGCAAAGGGGCCGGCGAGCTTCTCTCTCGCGCCTCTGCTCCCGATCCTCCATCCTCCCTTTCCTTGCCCTCCTCCGCCGCCCCCGGCACGGCTAGAGTCGAGCTGCGTCCTCCCCTGCCCCTCCGCTTGCTCATCCCGTTTCCCCCCCCCCGCGGGAGGGTGGCCGCAGAGCGCCGGCAGGGCCAGGCCCCGGCGGGGCCGAGCCGAGCTCCTGCCTCGCGGGCCGTTCGCGATCGATCGGGTGCCCTGCGGGGTCGCCGCGTCGAGGCCTTTGCAAGCCGATGCTTCCAGCCTCTGCCTCAGCCTGGCAGGTCAGAGGAGGAAAAGGCACCGATACCGCTACCCTTCCCTCGTATTCCCTTTTTTGGGCCTCCTGGGAGGTTCTCGTTGCCACCGCTGTATTCGCTTCGGAATCCTGGTCAGAACGCACCCAGGGAATGGTTTGGGGAGTAGCGGTATCGGTACCTTGTAGTTTCCCCATAACAGGTTCCAGCACGCGTAAATTCCAGCCCAATGCAAGAAAGGACTTACTGCGGGGATCCAGTGAGCCTCTTTGTCATGGTGGGGATGCTTACGTTCGTTCCCGCTCGCTTCCCGAGTCGTTGGGCGCACCTGATCCTGGTTGCCACCCTGGCCCTGGAGGCACGCCTCATGGGGAGGGTCTCGTATGCTGCTTTGCCGGAGGCCCTCGCGGCCCTCGCGGACGAGCCGTTGATCGTGGAGGTGAAGCACCGGATGGGGAGCATCAAGGACCCGCCCGAGACCTACGACCGCGTGCAGCTCTGCTCCTACTGCCGCGCCCTGGGGTGCACCCGGGGCGACTTGGTGCAGTGCATCCGGGAGGGCGGAAGGCCCAGGCTGCACGTCACGCGCTTCGACTTCTCCCCCGGCAGTCACGACGGCGATTCGTTTGTTGCTTCCCTGGCCACACCCACCCCAAAAGCGGCAGCAGTGGCAGGCGACCCTGAGGCCGAGGGGGTTTGGGGTTGTCAGTCCGGTGACCGCTGGCTAGCGGCCAACGGTCCGTCGCAGACAAGGAAACGACTGATCGCTGGCTCACTTGCCAACCCCCAGCCCCCAACACACACAACCACAACAACAACAACAACAACAACAACAACAACAATTACTAGCACGTGGGGACACTCCGTTCTCACCAGTGCCAGGGTTTTCATAGGAGGCGGGCAATACCCCCACTTTGTGGGGGGGCCGGTTCAAGCTCTACCAAATTTCCAAACGACTCTTCGCCACCACCCACACCCAGCTTCCCGCCCTATGACGTTCGGACACTTCACTTCGTGGCATGCGGACGACCGTGGCTACTATTCAGGGCCCCGCGGCCGACGACGACGGCGTGCGCGCGCGAAGAAAAAACGAATGTGTCCCGCATGGTATTATTTGACAGGGATGATGGCCCTGGCAGGTGCGCAACCGTTGTCGCAGAAGTTCGAAAAAGTTGCTCGCAAAAGCCCGTTTGACAGAAATGTTTAAAAAGTGTTGGGTTTCCTACGAATCCGCAAGAGCGCGCGGGATGAGATTTTGACATTTTTTTGTTGAAAAACCATTGGTTTTTTGATGTTTTTATGTTAAAATCGCTCGCTCCGAACACTAAGTTTTGGAAGGATTTCGTCTTGCGCGCGCGAATGTCCACTTTACCTTATTTTTTGCAAGGGATTCTTGAAATTTGATTATATTAGAACAAGAAATGTCATTTTCTATTGTTTCTTTGCAAGGGAAAGCGGATTACAACAAAACAACCGGATCCTGTACACACCCTCTTTTCTGAGGCTTCCTCACGAAAATGATGAAAATGCAGCTGCGGCCTAGGCGGCGCAGGGGGGGCGCGCACCAGGGGGCCCAACAATAATTATTCTTTAGAATAAATAATGTTCAACAACAACAACAACAACAGCAACACCAACAACAACACCAACAACAACAATAACAACACCAACACCAACACCAACACCAACTCCAACAACAACAGCACACAAATCCCAGACGTGCAAACGGTTCTGCAGAAGGTTTGGAGCGGGATTTGGTTGGATCCCCTTGCGCGAAAGAAGTCCATGTCCACGGCCTCGGGGTCCGGACTCTTCGGCCGCGACCCCGTGGCTACACGGAGTTCTGTGTGCTGTTCCCCCCTGTGGGATGCACCTGTGGGATCGCGTATCCATGGGATCGCTCAGAGGAGGGAAAGGTACCCATACCTCTACCCTCTCCTCGTTTTCCCCTTTTGGGGCCTCCTGGGCCTCCGTCGTCGCCACCGCTGGATTCGCTTCGAAATCCTGGTCAGAACGCACCCCATCAGAGGTCCGCGGAGTAGCGGTATGGGTACCTTTTGGTGCCCCCAATCGCGCCTCGGTGCGTAGACCTCGAAGCACAGGATGCGGATTACCGCTCGTGATGGCTGGCAAAGCGTTCCACTACTCGCAAAGTGCCTGACTACTTGCAGACGCCAGAACAAAAAACGTGTTTGCCTCGACGTGGTGGATGGTAGATCTCCCTCGGCGGACCCGATCCACTTGCGAGCAGCTGCTCTGCGAGTCGTGGAACGCGCTTGCCTAAACTTGTGGAGGACGATCAATGGAGAGGAAGCATGTTGCCAAATCATTTCCAGATGTCTCAAACATGTGTTAAACATGTTCTAAGCATGTAAACACATGTTATTAACATGCTTAAAATATTTCCGACATTTTAAACACATCTTAAATTCAATGATAGGACTGTTAGGGTGTCCATTGTCGTGGCATCCACACGTCTAAGCCAGGCGATGGCTGGGACAGGCACGTGCTCCCCGGCCTCTACGCGACCGCGCGGGCCGTGTACGCGGCCCGGCGGGACCTCGGCGCCCGGCTCCGTTTGCTGGCCGCCGAGACGCCGGAGAGCAGGGCCGCCATCGTCGAGGAGTTCTGCCCGCACCTGGCGCGCTGAGTGCGGCGGAGCACTCAAGAGAGGAAAAGGTGCAGTCGGGGCGCTGAAGAAGGAGCCCTTTTCGCTGGGGAGGGGCTCGGTGTTCCTTGATCGTTTCACAGTCTGCCTCGGGTTTTCCTCAGGTTGCCCATGGGACATCGAAGCTGAACCTGTTGGAAAACAGGGGCCTCGTTCGTTGTCTAGGGTTCCTCAGGTCAACGCCCCGACTGTAGTCAGGAGGGAAAAAAAACAGACACAATTAATCGTCGATTTCCCAGAAAATATGGGAAAATATGGGAAGTGGTGGGGAAGACAAAAACCCAGAAAATATGGGAAAATATGGGGAATCCTTTTATTTGTGTGGATTTATTTGTGTGTCCCAGGGCCCCTTCAGTATTTCCCTTTTCGGGCCTCCTGGGAGGCCCTCGTCGCCACCGCTGCATTCGCTTCGGAATCCTGGTCAGAACGCACCCGGGGAATGGTCTGGGGAGTGGCGGTATCGGTACCTTGTAGTTTCCCCATAAAACAGGTTCCGGCACGTGTAGATTCCAGCCCAATGCAAGAAAGGACTTGCTGCGGGGATCCGGTGAGCCTCTTTGTCATGGTGCGGATGCTTACGTTCGTTCCCGCTCGCTTCCCGAGTCGTTGGGCGCACCTGATCCTGGTTGCCACCCTGGCCCTGGAGGCACGCCTCATGGGGAGGGTCTTGTATGCTGCTTTGCCGGAGGCCCTCGCGTTCTGACCAGCAGTTCGAGGCGAATCCAGCGGAGGCGACGAGGGCCTCCCAGGAGAACAACACAAAGAGGACTACGAGAGGAGGGTCGCAATGTCGGCAGCTTTTGTTTAAGAGGTCATGAGAATGATACGTCCCAAGATCCCCAGGAAATCCAAGTTTGCCTGAGGTTTCGCACGGGGGGCTGCAGGCCCGAGGGCCGCCAGCTACTCCATACACCTCCTCCTCCTCCTCCTCCTCCTCCTCCTCCTCCTCCTCCTCCTCCTCCTCCTCCTCCTCCTCCCCCTCCTCCCCCTCCTCCCCCTCCTCCTCCTACTCCTCCTCCTCCTCCTCCTCCTCCTCCTCCTCCTCCTCCTCCTCATCCGATCGGTGCGATCGGGTACTGCCGGAGGTGGCCCCTGGCCCCTGTGCCCGGAGGGCCTCGCAGGGGCGCAAGATGGCGCAGGGGCCCGGGAGACCCCCCCGAATCAGGAGGGAAAAAAACACACACACACAGACACAATTAATCGTCGATCCCCAGGAAAATATGGGAATATATGGGAAGTGGTGGGGAAGACAGAAGCCCAGAAAATATAGGAGAATATGGAGAATCTTTTTATTTGTGTGTATTTATTTGTGTCAGTGCTGGGGCGCGCTCTCACCCGGATTTCGGCGCGCATCTGGCCGCGGCGACGCCCCCTCTATCCCCTCTTCACCCCCCCGAGGAAGCCTGGCAGAGATGCGGAAGGGCTCCGCAGAAGCCCCCTTCTCCTCCTGCCTCTCTCCCCCCCTCCTCCCTGCTCCCCCCCCCGCCCCGGCAGCCCACCACGCAGCTCCGCGCGCTGGCCCACCCAGCCCCGCCCACGTGGACGAGACCGTCCACGCCAGCCAGCCCTCCACCTGCAACCCCCCCCGCTCTTCTTCCCCCCCCCCCCTCTCCTGGGGAGCGGCGCAGCGGCGCAGCGGCTCGCGCAGTGGGGCGCACGCGTGGGGGGCGGCGCGGTGCCCCGAGGGAAGCTTTGAGTCGGGCGTGTCCTTCTACAGGAGGATTTTTTTTCAAAGTGGTCAAACATAGTCTGGATTCGATGCTTTATCGATACTGTGCGACTGCTTTCGTGTGTTGCTGGGCGATGTTTTCAGTTCCCGCCCAAAGTCCGCCCGTAGGAGGACATGCCCGACCCAAGGGAAGCGGCGCGCCACTGCGGCGCAGTGCCCTGGCGCCGCTGCGCCAGCGGGGCGCCGCGCTGCTGGCGCGGGTGCGCCAGCGGCGCTGCGCGGCCGCACCTGGGACGGGCCAGCCACGAGGGGGGGGAGCTGTGCCCCCCCTACCTCGACGCCATGCAGGCCTCCTCCCAGATGGGGCCCGAGCGGCCGGGGTCGGGGGTTCACGCCGCGTCGCCTCTGCATCGGCGATGCCGTCCGACGCGGAGCCCGATGTTCTCCGCGCCCACGTCGCCGAGGCATCGCCGACGTCGCCAGCGCACCGCCGATGCACCGCCGATGCGTCGGCGATGCATTGGCGATGCGGCGCGGTCCTCCGACCCCTCCTGCCCGAACCCCGCCTGGGAGGCCTCTGAGAAAGGCACACCGTGCAAAGACGGGCGTTCGGAGGTGCGCGCCGAGTTCTCGGGTCGGCGCTGGGGGCCCCCTGGCGGGTACCTCTGCCTCTGAGAGAGGCACACCGTGCAAAGACGGGCGTTCGGAGGTGCGCTCCTCCTCCTCCTCCTCCTCCTCCTCCTCCTCCTCCTCCTCCTCCTCGGTCGGCGCTGGGGGCCCCCGCGGCGGGTGCCTCATGGCACCGCCCCCTCTATAGAGCGCGCTTCTCGCGCGCCAGGGGGGAGGCGGGCCCTGGGCCGGCCCGAGAGCTGCGCGTGGGCCTCCCCAGCAGCTCGCGGCTCGTGCGCGTGCACCTTGTGACACACGCCGATGATTCTCATATGCCGGGTTTCGCTTCAACCGATCCCCATCCCCATCCCCATCCCCATCCACATCTCGAGCCCCACCATCTCACCACCTCAAGTTTGGGGATGTGCCCCTCGAGACCTGGAGAGAGCGGCCTAGATCCCCACCCAGGGGGGTAGATCGGCCAGTGGGGCCCAGCCGACGCCGGTGGGGACGGGGATCGGTCGAAAGATGCTCATCTTGAGGAGCCCGCCGGCTTCGACACTCCCCCATCGAGGGTTCGTCGATCCGATGGCCCCCCCCCAGGGGGACAAGGGGTACAGCTCGCCCAGTGCCCGATTGTCGGCTGGCTGGGGCGGCACGGTGCTTGCGCGGGATCGGGGCGCGCTCGCCGCTGCAAAAGCGCCGCGGCCGCCGTCGTCGCTTGCCGGGGTCGTCGTGGCCGTGGTCGTGGCTTCGGTCGTGGTCGTCACCGTCGCGGTCGTCGTCCTCGTGGTCGTGGCCCAGAGTCCTGTTCCTGCTGCCCATGCTCACTCTCTATATTCTTGTCCCTTGGAGCGGTGCCAGTGCATGCACGGAGGGCTTCTTGCGCGTCGTCTTGGCAGCTGGACGGTCGAGGCGAGGGTCCGTCCGGTGTTCAGAGGAGGTGGCGCCCCGTGGGCGCACGCGGGCTTGGCGCGGGTTCGCCCGGTTTTGCCCGCTGGGTGCCCGCCGGTGGGCGCTTCGTGGGCGCCTCGTGCCCTGCCGTGGGCGCCTCGCCGGCGCCCAGTGCTGCTTTCCACATACCCTGACCTTCCAGGAGGGCTAAAAAATAGCACCCGACCTAAAAACCTATCCCAGAGCTATTCTACGTCTTGGTTTTAGGCTGTTTCGTTTAGTTTTTAGGTTTTTAGGTCTCCAGTGCTAAAAAATAGCTCTCTGGAAGGTCAGGGTAGAGGGCACTTTTTAATACACCGGATTTTTTTAATGTAGGTTTTTTAGTGCATGATACCGGACAAAAAACCCAATCAGGGCTATAGGGGTAGGGGGCGATAGGGCTATTGAGCTATAGGGCTATAGAGCTATAGGGCTATAGAGTTGTAGGGTTGTTGGGCTTTAGGGCTATAGGGCTATAGGGCTTGGGGCTATAGGGCACCCCCGGGCACCCCCGGGCACCTCCGGGCACGCCTGGGCACGCCCGGGTACCCGGGCACCCGGGCACCCCCGGGCACCCCCCGTGCACCCGGGCCCCGGGCAACCTTGGGCACCCGGGCACCCGGGCGTGCCGCGAAAATCGGCGACAAACCTAACCTAACCATATGAATCCGCTAGGACCCCTACAGAGGCAAGCTCTGATTGGGGAATGATTAATTTATGAAGAAATTTATGCATGAACTCATCGTTGTTTTTAATGCTAGATCCCTGCATGTTTCATACATGATCCGCACGCGGAGCATGTATCAAAAGCGGCACTGTAGTTTGCACCGCACAGGTGTGGCCGCACACTCAGAGCTTGCACCGCTTGGCTTCCGCAACGAATCTTGCACCACACAGGGCACAGCGCATAGTTGTGAGCAGCATGGCTTATACCACATGGCTTGCACCACACACCTTTCATCACAGAGTTTACAACACGTCGCTTACAGCGCGTTGTTTGCACCAGGTAGCTTGCACCACATCGCTTATACCACGTGACTTGCACCACCTAGCTTGCACGACAATGCTTACATCAGATACCTCAGACCACGTACTGCATCACCCTGCACTTCGCTACGATGCTTGCATCACATCTGTTTACACGACCTTGCTTGCACACCATCGCGTGCACACATAGCTGGCACCACACAGCTTGCACAGCTTGCACCCCTCTGTTTACCCACGCACGCACACACCTTAGGCGTCGGCGGCTAGGCAGAGCCACTGCGCTGGCGATGGAGCGTTAGTGTGGTGCACAGAACGCGAATTGAGCCGCGATGCACGGGGGAGGGAGGAGGAGCGACCGGCGCGGGCGGGAGGAGGACGGAAGCCCGGCCCGCTCAGAGCGGGGCCAGGCGGCGGCGGGGGGGCGCCGGAGACACACGCACACACGCACACGCACACACGCACACATGACACACGCACACACACATACACACACACGCACACACACAAACACACACACACACACACACGCGCAGCGCACACGCACACGCACACGCACACACACACGCACACGCACACGCACACGCACACGCACACACACGCACACGCACACACACACACACACACACACGCACATAACACATGTGAACCCCACCGCTTGCGCCGCACAGCCGACACCACGTCTGTGGCGCATCGAGGGTGCAGTGGCGTGGCACGTGGTGGGGCCCACGCCGGCAAGCAGTATACTGCTGGTGCGTCCTGTTGTTCCTGTCCTCGTCTTGGCCTTTTACCTCGGTCGACAGTTAAGAGTTGGTCGCGCGTGCCAGTCGATTGTTGTTCGCTCCCTCGTCGCAGTGGCACATCCTCTGGTGCTTCTCGTCCGGCTGTTTCTCTTCGTCCCGTCCTCCCCCTCTCCCGTGATCCTGATCCTCGTCTGCCTCGTCGTTCGACCCACCCCTTCTTGTCGCCCCGTTCTCCTCCCCCGTCCGGACGTTGAGGCAGGGCCTGGCCGTCCACTCCCAGTTCCCACTCCTACTCCTGCTCTCCCTCTTTCCCGCTCCCCCGTTCCCCTCCCTCCCCCTCCCCCTGCGCCCTCTATTCTCGGCCCTCTCCCAATTCCTGTGCCTCCTCGCCCTCCTCCTTCCGGACTCCTCCCCCCCGCCACCCCCCCCTTCTCCCTCCCGCTCCCGGCCCCCTCGCCCTCGTCGCCGGGCTGGCGCCCCTCCCGGCATCGGGCCCCCGTGCCAGGCCCTGGCTCTCCTCCTTCCTTGGCATCGCTCGGACGTGTGCATTTTTTCTCGGCGAGAGCGGCGAGAACCATCGAGGACCATCCTGGACCATCGGGCCAAGAAAACATGCACGAAACCGGAAAATGCTCGGGAACTGGACGTCCGAGCGACGGCAGGCTTCCCTCCCCTCGCCGCTCGGGTCCTCCTCCCCTGGCCCTGCCACCCTCCGCAGGGGCCGCGTGCGGCCCCGCCTCCTCGCCGAGCGCCATCGGGATGCCCACCACCCACCAAACCACCCCAACCCAACCTGAAGGCCTCAATTTTCGGGGGTGGACAGACCTCCTACCTTGACACGTCGATTAGTGAATTGTCCGTTCTCGGTTCTCGAGAGGGCGCCGCGGCCGTTATTTTCCAGGTGTGCGCCCGCCAGGTTTGGGCCCGAGGTCGTTTTCACTAAACCACGTTTTGCGAAAGGGAGGTCTGTCCATCCCCGAAATTTGCCCTCCACTTCCAGTGGGGGGGGGGTCCCGGGAACATCGAAGAAACACAGATGGAGCCCATTACCCCCCCCCCCCCCGAAGCTCGGGTCTTCGGGTTGGGTTGGTGTGGCCTGGTAGGTGGTCCGATGCGCCAGCGGCGCCGGGCGGTCCCCCCGCGACTCCCGGGGCGGAGGTTCGAGGGCCAAGGGTTGTGAACGTTCTTGATTGGCTCGTTTTCCACCACCACCACCATAAGTTGGAGGGGGGAGGGAGGAGGAGGAGGAGGAGGAGGAGGAGGAGGACCCCCTCCCCCTCCTACTTATGGTGGTGGTGGTGGAAAACAGGCCCACCAAAGGGTTGTGAACGTTCTTGCCACGCTTTGGGGGGCCTATAGCAATGGCAGCTTGTGGTTCACAGATCCGTGGGGGGCGCGCGTTTGAAAAAGATAGCTCCCCTGCTCGGGCGCATCGCGGGGTGGCGCCCGCCAGATTGAAAATCGACGGGGCGGCGCCAGTGCTTAGCGCCGCCGCCCGGCCGCCAACGAGGGGCAAGGGGGGGGGGCGTTTGGAGGTAAGGGCGAGCCAGGGTGCCTCTCTCTCTGTCGAACCGGTGCGGGCCTGCGGGCAAGGCGGGCCGGACGAGAGTGGGGCGCAGCAAATGGGGGATTTGCCAGGCAGCACACGTCGCCGATTTTCCAAGCTCCTCCTGGCGCCGAAAGCGGCCATGCGTCGAGGACTGGCCCTTCGGCGGGGAGACCGAAACCAGCTGCGCGCAGCAGGCTTTGCAACCCCCCATTTCCTTCCCCAGCCTTTCGTCCGACCCGAGCAAGGCGGGTAATCCTCCTCCCCCCCTCTGTCGCCGTCGTCGCCGCCGTCCCCCGCCCTGCCCGCGCCTGTTTCCAGCGGCCGCTCTTGTCGTCGACGAAGACCGACGACGACGACGACGACGACGACGACGACGACGACGACGACGACGGGACGAGGACGAGGACGAGGACGGCGGACGGCGCGGTGGACGGCGGACGGCGGACGGCAGGCGGCGACGGCGGACGGCAGACGGCGACGCACTGCGGATGCCCTATTGGGGTGTGTGTGTGTGTGCTGCGCAGGCCCGCTGTAGTCGACAACGACGACGACCACGACGACCGACGACCACGACCACGACCACGACCACGACGACGAAGAAGACGACGACAAGACGACGACGAAGAAGAAGACGACGAAGAGGACGACGACGACGACGACGGCGACGACGACGACGACGACGACGACGACGACGCCGGAGAGGGGGAACGAAACTTCGCCTCGGATGTGGACGACACTTCTAACAACTTCTATACGAAAAGGCAATCTGATCTGATTGAGGCTGTCATGCAGGGGCGTACACGATCCCTTTGGCGGCCCAGCGACGACCCCCTGGCGCGCGTGATTAAAAGAAAGCTTTCGCCCCCCGCGGGGTCTATTCAGCAGCCCGGGGGGGAGGGGGTTGGCCTTTTGTTAACGACAAGCTGACATTCGATCGCCCCTCCCCCTCTTCCTCTTCCTTTTCCTCCTCCTCTTCCTCCTCCTCCTCCTCCTCCTCCTCCAGGTCCTCTTTTCTCCACTTGTCCCAGTTCCTCCCGTCCCTCTGCTTCCTCCCATTCTTCCTCCTCCACCTTCCTCTCCTCCACCTTCCTCTCCTCCCTCCCTCCTGCCTCCTCCTCCCGTTCCTCCCCCTTTCCCCCCTACCCACCCTCGTACCGCATCACCTCCCCATCCCATCTGTCCTCCTTCCGCCCATCCTCTTGTCCCCTTCCCGATCTGCCTCCCCCTGCTCCTCCCCCATCGCCCTCCCCTTCCTCCTTACCCCCCTCCCCTCCCTTCCTGCTTCCTTCCTCCTTCTCCTCCTCCTCCTCCTCCTCTTCCTCCTCCTCCTCCTCCTCCTCCTCCTCCTCCCCTTTCTCCTCCCCCTCGCCCCCTCCTCCCCTTCCTCATCCTCCACTCCTCCCTCGTCCTCCTCCCCCCACCCTCCCCCTCCCCCTCGTCCTCCTCGCCCCTCCGTGGGTGGGACGGCGCAGGGCCCGCTGACGCACGGACCGGCGGTGCCCGCGATCTCCTACGCGCCCGAGCCGTCCGACCCCATCGACATGATGGTCGCCTCTGGCGCGTCGGGCGGCCGTGGAAGCGTCCATTTCACGCATGGTAAAAGGGGGTCGACTTTTCTTGTGGCATCTTCGAGCCCAGTCAGAACAGGGCGCAGCCGGACTTGCACAGAGGAGGAAAGGAGGAGGAGGAGGAGGAGGAGGAGGAGGAGGAGGAGGAGGAGGAGGAGGACGTATTCCCGGAGCCTATCCATCCCCCCCCGGAGCCGATCCATCCCCGCGTGACCGCTTGGCTCTCGGGGCGGCCCGTGCAGCCCCCGGAGCGCCCTCGGCGGGGGGCAGCTGCCGGAGAGCCTCCCCGGGGCTGGGAGGCCGCCTGGAGCCGACGGAAACGTCCGACAAAAACCAGGAAGCGCATTCCCCTGCATGGGGGGGGGGGGGCTGGCAAGATTCGAGGCGCTCGCACTTCGACGACGGAGGCTCGTGCACGTTCCCCGGACGGCTTGGGGGGTCGAGGGGGCCGCTGTTGGCCCAGACTCGGTGGCGTGATGGTCTCCCGTGTGGTCTCCCGTGTGGTCTTCTCGGGGGGGGGGGGGGGGGGGGCGCTGCCAGCCCGCGAATCGGTGACCTGGTGGCCTCGCGCATGGTATCCCGTACGGTCTCCCGTTCTCTTATCCCCGTATGGTCTCCCGGATGGTCTCCCATAGGGTACCCCGTGAGGTCTCAGGTATGGTTCACAAGAGTGGTGTAGGAAAGTTGTGTGGTACTTTTGGACGGCCAGTCTTTCTTGGGGATCTTCAAGTGGCGAGGAGTGAGGAGGAGGTGCTGGAGGAGGAGGAGGAGGAGGAGGAGGAGGAGGAGGAGGAGGAGGAGGAGAAGGAGGAGGAGAGGAGGAGGAGGGAGGAGGGAGGAGGGAAGAGGAGGGAGGGGGGGGAACAGGAGGGATGAGGAGAGGACGGAATGAAGGAAGGACATATGGCAGGAGAGATGACGAAGAGGAGATAGGAAGAGGAGCGAGGAGGAGGACGACGAAAGGAGGAGAGGAGGAGGAGGAGGAGGAGGAGGAGGAGGGAGGAGGGAAGAGGAAGGAAGAGGAGGAGGAGGAAGGAATGAAGGAAGGACATATGGCAGGAGAGAGGACGAGAGGAGATAGGAAGAGGAGGGAGGAGGAGGACGACGACGAAAGGCGGAGGAGGAGGAGGAAGAGGAGGAGTGGGAGGAGGAGCATGAGTAGCTGGAAGGAGGGATGAAGAAGGAGGGGTAGGAGGAGGGAGAAGGATCAGGATGAGGATGAGGATGAGGAGGGGGAGGATGAGGAGGTAGGGGGAAGAGGAGGAGGAGGAGGAGGAGGAGGAGGAGGAGGAGGAGGAGGAGGAGGAGGAGGACAACGAGGAGGACGAGGAGGGCGCGATGCCGCGTGCAAGCTCGTCGTCCTGGGCTGCGCCGGGCTCGTTGGGGCCGATGTCTTGAGAGCTGTTTCATGTATCTTTCTCCCTTCTCGTCCTCCTCCTCTTACTCCTCCTCTTCCTCCCTCTCGTCTTCCTCCTCCTCTTCCTCCGCTCGCCAGGGGGGCCAACATTAGGGCGGAAAACTGCTCCTCCTCCTCCTCCATCTCCTCCCTTCCCCTCCTCCCTTCCCATCCTCCTCCACCTCCTCCTCCTCCTCCTCCTCCTCGTCCGCCTCCAGGGGGGCGAAGACTGGCAGGAGTCCCTGCCCATATTGGGCATGACCCGTTGTCGCCAGAGACCCTCTCCCCACACCGGCCGCTGTCTGTTTGGGACCATATTCGCTGGGTCCGCCTCGTTCCCAATGTTTCCGCCCCCATTCCGAGCGCACCAGATTTCCGCCTCCCCTCCGGTGTGTGGCCGGGCGTGTGCCCTGTACGGTGGGGGCGTCGGTTAAGGGATGTGCCAGGGAGGCTTCAGGCCCTGGAGGATCCCTTACCTGATGAGGGCGGCGACGGCATCCATTCAGGCGATAACAAACATGGATCAAGGGGGCGTGGATTGACGACGGGTCCCGTTTCTATGGGAAACCGCAGATTTCCGCCGCCGAACGAGGCCGCAGCGGCCGCCTTTGGGGGAGGGCACCTCCCCCGATCCATGGATCTGGCGACCGCGCGCCAAAGCCATGGATCGTTAATCCATGTTTGCGCGCCCCCGAAAGGGGAGGATGGAGGAGCAGGGCAGGAGCAGGAGCAGGAGGAGGCGGAAGGCAAGACGCATGCTGACTCAGGGAGGAGGCAGGTGCCGAGAGCCCCAGCAAGGAGAAGCACAGGGGGGGGGGGGACGGGTGCACGCGTGGATTCCGCCCCCTCAATCCCATGGCCAACCCACGATTGCAGTCCCACCAGCTTCCAGACGCCGGATGCCCCGTCCAAGGATTCCTCGTCCAGTGCCGTCACCGTGCGTGTCTTGTAGGCGTGCCCGCCTGGTCTCCACGTCTGGCGTCAACTCCTCCTCCTCTTCCTCCTCCTCCTCCTCCTCCGCCTCCTCCTCCTCCTCCTCCTCCTCCTCCTCCTCCCCTCTCCTCCTCCTCCTCCTCCTCCTCCTCCTCCTCCGCCTCCTCCTCCTCCTCCTCCTCCTCCTCCTCCTCCTCCTCCTCCTCCTCCTCCTCCTCCTCCTCCTCCTCCTCCTCCACCCTCCTCCTCCTCCTCCTCCTCCTCCTCCTCCTCCTCCTCCTCCTCCTCCTCCTCCTCCTCCTCCTCCTCCTCCTCCTCCGGGAGGGGCGCCGCGCGCCTTCTGCCTGGCATCGGGGAGGAGGCGTCGTGGAGAGCGAGTGTGACGACGCTGGCCCGCCTCCGTGCTCCTCGCCCCTTCTGCGTCTCCCTCCGGGGGGAAGCGGGTCCTCCAAGGGCCCCTGGACGGTCAGGAAACGACTCAGGACCAAGAGTGGGTCCCGGGGGAAGGCTCCAGGGTCCGCCCTCTGTCTCTCTCTCTCTCTCTCTCTCTCTCTCTCTCTCTCCTTTCGAGAGACGAGCTGGGCACAATCATAAACTTTTGACGGTCCGCGTGGATTCCTTGGATCTGCGCTGGGCCAACCCCGGCGGCGCCTCCGGCTCCGCCCCTGGCGCGCTCCACGAGCCAGGGAGGGGGGGTCCAGCTCAGATCCAAGAAGTCTGCGCGAACCGTCAGTCGTTTATGTCTCTGCAGGTGTTTCTTCTTCTATGTTCCTCGTCCCTTCCACTTCCTCCTCCTCCTCCTCCTCCTCCTCCTCCTCCTCCTCCTCCTCCTCTTCCAGGGTGTGGACGAGGCTGGTTCTCGTCAGCGCGCAGTGGGGTGAAGGCGAGGGGTGGCCGCCCGAGAAGGCGCCCCCGCCTGCTGGTGGCAGCGGGGCGCGGTTACCCGCACGGGCCGCCTCGCCGCCTCAGAAGGCCACGAGGAGAATGCATCCGTTTTCGCCGGCGCTGCAGGTTGACAGTGGGGGGCTCTTCGGCCAGCAGAACGCCGAAACGAGCCACACTTTGTTGTCTAGGTGCTTGCACTGGGAACTGCACGGGGGATAGCGCAAGGGGGAGTGCGCAGGGGAGGAAACAAAAAAATGGCCACGAGGCGAATCTCCAGTTTGGGCCCTTGCGGAGCGCTCTCCTCCCCTCTGGTCCTCGCCACCCCTCCTACTCCTGCTCCTCCTGCTCCGTCCTCCTGCCTCCGTGGCCACGATGTCTCCAGCCGCGTCTGGATTGCCCGGCCAGCACGCGTCGAGAGACGGCGCAACCTGACCTGTTCGTGCGCATCTTCGTGTGCAGCTACACATCCATGGCCGCACGGTTTGTGGCGCGTGCGCTGGCGCACGGCATCACAGTCCGTGTTGGTTCAACGGTTGACTGGTAAGCCCACGTCTCTCACGCCAGAGTGGATTGCAAGCGTTTCGTTCGTGTACTTATTGCGCGATGTTGAACATCCTCAGCATCACACGGTCGTCGTCACATCTGCAGGCAAACAATACGGAGTACATCGATGGGCTAATGATGTTGGGGATGTCCGTCCAGCAGTACTTGCCGGGCTATCCCATGGCGGCCATGGTCATCCAGGGCCAGGGTCTCCTGAGAGAGGCCGGCTGGAAGTTAGGAGCTGTGCCAACCTGGGGCAGCGAGTACTGCGCAGAAGGCTCTGACTTTCAGTTCTTGGGGCGATGGCATGGTAGTCTCGAGAAGATGAACACTTCCCGCCTGCCTTTCTGCGCGGGTGCTGCTCATGGACCCGGACGCACACATCCCTAAAAGGCGACGTCAAGTGGCTGGCAAACCAGATGAAGCTGCCCTCCGGCAGACACCTCGCAATGGCGAAGGGCGGCTGCCAGGACGAGCGCCTTGGGGCCCGCGGCGACGGGGCCCTCGGGCAGCCCGCCTCCCACCGCCCCCGCTTTTCTCGCCCCTTGGGGCCGTGGCCGCGTCGCCACCGCGGCGATTCGCCTCGGAGTGCTGGTCAGAGCGCGCCCCGGGAGAGGTCTGGGGAGTAGCGGTATCGATATCTTCTGATCTCCCCAATTCCGGCGAGCACGTCAGGTTGCTTCGTTTGTGTGTGTGTGTGTGTGCCTTTGTGTGTGTATACCTCTGGGAGGCCTCTGCGGTGTCCTATCGGGGCCTTCTTGGGGGCATTCTCGGGGTCATCTCGGGCTGTCTTGTGGATTGTGGGGGATCTCTTCGAGGCCATCTTCGCCTGAAGTGGGGATCTCTGGGGCCATCTTGGGCCCCTCCCGGCCCTGCTCGTTGGATGGAGGCGGCGTCGTGCGGAAGCGCGCCAGCGACGGCATGGAACAGAGGAGCTGCGGAGAGGTTTAGGCAGACGCGGAGGACATACACAGAGCATCCAATCTGAAACAAATCACGCCGCGCTTTTTTTGTGGATGAGCCACGCGTGGAAGCGGATCGGAGACGCATCCCGCGCCCCCTGCCTTGCGAAAGCGCCCGTGTCGCGAAGGGTCGAGGGGCACCGCGGCCACGCTGGCGGCTCCCAGGGCCTCCCCAGCAGTCTGGGAAGCCACTGGGGGAGCTCTTGGGAGAGGCCCTCGGGGACCGCCCTGGGGCTGTCTTTCACCACCCACCAAACCACCCCAACCCAACCCGAAGGCTCAGATTTACCCTCGATTTCCAGTGGGGGGGTCGGGAAACATCGAAAAAACACATGTGGGACCCTGACCCCCCCAACCCGAAATTCGGGTCTTCGGGTTGGGTTGGGGTGGTCTGGTAGGTAGTCAGTCTTGGGGCGTTTTTGGCATTGTTTCTTGAGGCCTTCTTCTGGGCCTCCTGAGGCCTTCTTGGGCTGCTCTTGGTGGTCACGGGGGCTGTCTCACGGGGCTCTTATGCCGTCTGGCGCCCTCGGATGCCGTCCTGGGGACCTTCAGGGCTATCGTGGGGCTCCCTTGAGCTGTATTGAGGTTCTCTTGGGGCCCTCTTGGTGGCGTCGTGCGCCGTCTTTGTGTTCTTAGGGGCCTCTTGGCCGTCTTGACTTGCCCACAGCCCGAACAGGCGAGATCGGGAAACTCCCGCAAACACCTGAGGGAAAATCCATGACTGTTGGTTGCTCTGGCCCTCCTGGGCGTTCTCCGAGAGCTCTCCTGAGGAGTCTCGGGGGCTCCTTGTGCGCCCTTCGCGCAGCCTGCAGCCGCATTCGGGCTCTCTGGGGCCGTCCTGGGGACCCTTCGAGTCGACGTGTCGGGACCCTCTCCGGGCCCTCTCTGGCCGTCTCTTGGGGTGAATCTCGGCACGTCCTGGCCGACGTGGGTCGTCCTGCGGGCGCCCTATCGGGGGACATTTCTCGCTGCGCCCGGCGCTGGCCCGCGGCAGAGGGCGCAGGACCCGCGGGAGCTCCCACGGAGGGCCACGAGCACCTGCGGGGAGCCCGGCACGGCGAGCGCCGCCTGCGGAGGAGCCACGGGGGCGGCGGCGCAGCGGAAGGGCCGCCGGGCACTGGGATGCACACACACACACACACATATATATATATATATATATATATATATATATATATATATATATCATGGCGCCGACATCGCAGGGCGGATGTCGTTCGAGAAGCAACGGGGTGGGCCTGGATGGTCCTGGAGAGTTTCGTTCGGGATTCCGAGGAGAATTGTTCGTGCGGATGCATTCGGGCCGGGAACGAAGACAAAGCACCAACCCGCGCGAAATTGACGTCGTTTTTCGCTCGCCGTCTCGGGGTCTTGTCTCGACAGAAATCCACGCCAAAAATCCGCGCACGTCGGCGAGGTCGGTGTAGTGACATGTCAGGAAGACAGTGCTCGGGTTTGGGAGGACGGGGCTGGGAGAAATTAGGATACCACGACCCGTAGGCGGCCGAGGGTATCGTTCACTGCATCCAGATGCTGTTGCTCATACCCTTCATCCTCCCAACCCCTTCTTCCCAACACGAGACTTGTGCTGCTCAGCATGACGCGGTCAGTCTCGGCGGGAGCCTGGATGCACACGTGGCCACATGTCTGTCCTGCGTGCGGTCACACGTGCGTCCAGCGAGTGGCCTCCGGATGTTTCACGTGTGAATCAGGGCCACTCCTGCTTCCAGCTTCCCCTGGTACGTCCACTGAGGGCAGCCCCCCTGGGCGCAGCCATCTCGGGAATGCTTTGGGGCCGCCTTTAGGCTTTGGGGCTCGGTTGGGCCATCTGGGAGCCTCTTGGGGGCATCTTTGGGCCACTGGGGGTAAGCAATACTGAAGGCTACGGTCAAGACTCTCAAATAGGGGCCACTTTGCACAGGAAGAGCTTTGGTTTTCGGGCCGTTCCTTAGATCTTGATCGGGGAACCCCTGTTCGAGGCAAGGCCAAAGTGGGCATTGGTCGGAGGGATCAACAAGGATCATCCTTGCAGAGGTGAGAGCTCAACAACATCACAATGTATGGAAGCCGCCTCCCTACCGCCCCGCCACTGCCGACTGCCGCTGGCGTCGTCGTCGCCGCCATCGGTGTCGTCCCGGGACCCTTGCCGCGATTGGCGGCGGCGGCGGCCCCGCAGGCCTGGCAACGCTGGAGCGCGGCACGGCGATGAAGCTCCTGCTGCGCCGCCTCGCGCCTGGCGACGCTTGGGAGGGCATCTTCCAGAGTGCCCCGTCGTCGTCGTCATCGTCGTCGTCGCCAACGTCAACGTCAACGTCAACGTCGTCGTCGTCGTCGTCGCAGCCGCCACGTTCGCCGTCGCCGTCCCCAAGTTTCCTTGCGTCGTGAAAGATCACGACGGACAGTTGTCAACATGTCTGTTGTTTCTGGAGGCCCTACCACGCCCCCAGACCGCCAAAAACTACTCGGGGCGAGAAGCCGGTCCCTGGGAACTGGTAGAGACTTCTGGTTGGATTTCCTCCTCTTCCTCCTTGTCCTCCTTCTCCTCCTCCTCCTCCTCCCTCCTCCTCCTCCTCCCTCCTCCTCATCCTCCTCCTGCGCCTGCTCCTCCGTCTCCTCCTCCTCCGCCTCCTCCTCCTCGCGCGTGGCGAAAGAATCGCGACGTCGGAGGACTGGGTCATTGTCGTGGTCGTCGCCCGAGAGCTGCAGGGGTGGACGCTTGCCGCCTCCGCGGCCTCGTTGGCAGATGTGGGCAGCGCTGTGTCGGTCAGCCGCTCAGGGCGCCGGTCCCAGCGGCGTGGCGCCCTGCGTGAGCCTTCGTGGTCGTCGTGATTGTGGTGGCTGTCGTTGTCGTGCCCTGCTTCTCTTCGTCGTCCTCGAGTAGGGGCGAGGAGGCACGTCGTCCTCCTCCTCCTCCTCCTCCTCCTCCTCCTCCTCCTCCTCCTCCTCCTCTCCCTGCCGCTCCCCCCCTCCTCCTCCTTCTCCGTCCTCACCCCCTGCGCAGGCAAGTACGACATCGACGGGCGCAAAGTCACCGTCCGCTGGGGGTGCGAGCCTGGTAAAGGCGCCGACGGGGCGGAGCGAGCATCGCGGCGACGGATGAGGAGAGGGCAGGGCAGAATAATAAGGAGGACAAGAGGGGGAGGATGGATGCGGGGCGCGGCGAGGACGGAGCATTGAGGCGGGAGGCGGGAGGATTGAGGAGGGTCGGGGGACGACGGGGGCAGGAGGATGAGGAGTAGCCGATCGGCTTGTGGATACACCGCTACGCCTCGACCACGCGGCAGGACAGGAGGCTGAGGACGGCTTGTCGAGGTGGCCCTCGCGCACTTGGGCTGACGCTCTTGCGCTCCGCCGCCAGGTGGTGAGGCAGGCGCGGCTCCCCAAGGTCCGTAAAGCTGCTGTACAGCCCCCTCGGAGCAGAGCGCGCCAGGAGTTTTCCCCACTGCCTGAGCCTTAAATTGGGGCAGCGCAGCGCCACGCCTACCCTATCCCCAGGGTGCTGTCGGCAACTACGCGCCCCAATTGGGCACGCCAGACCCAGGAGGACGACGAGCACAAGGAGGAGGAGGAGGAGGAGGAGGAGGAGGAGGAGGGGAGGAGGAGGGGAGGAGGAGGAATTCGGATAGTGGAGATGATGACAATGCTGGTTGTTGCGGTGATGAAGACGAAAGTGTGGATGATGGTTGATTCGGTTGAATGTTGGTGGTGATGATGAGGAGGAGATGATGATGATGATGATGATGATGATGATGATGATGATTATGATGATGATGATGATGATGATGATGATGATGATGATGATGATGCTGATGCTGATGCTGATGCTGATGATGATGCGGATGCTGATGCTGATGCTGATGCTGATGCTGCTGATGATGATGAGGATGATGATGATGCTGATGATGATGATGCTGATGCTGATGCTGATGCTGGTCGTCATCATCATGATGCTGCTGCTGATGATGATGATGATGATGATGATGCTAATCGCTGCTTTGATTATTTCAATGACTATGATGATGGCGAGAAGGAATATGATACTGACCGCGATGATGATAGTGGTGATAATGAGGAGGAGGGATGGGGAGGATGGGAGAAAACAACACGTACAGCAGGCACTGAAGGCCAAGGAGGATGCGAGGAGGCAGCAACGGCGTACGCAACGTGGCGGCGGAGGAAATGGGTTTGGGGCGTGCCAGAGAGGGTGACGGGCGGACAGTGGGGGAGCAGCGGGCAGCTAGGCGGAGGCTCTGGGGTGCAATCCACGCAGTTTCCGAATTTCATTGCCGCTGAAACCAAATCGAGCACATGAACGGTATGTCAAGATCGGCTCAACGTTGGTGTGCTCGTGTGCCCCGCCACCTCCTCATAGTTTCGCATAACAGTGGAATGCGAATTATGACCCCCGCCCACCAAAGTCTCACTGCCAGGGGCAGTGAGGCACGGTACTGCTACGAGACGCCGTGCACCGTTGGACACTACATACTCTGCCTATGTGGTCCTTCCTTGCACAATTGGCAGCTTGGCCCCGACCCATGTAAGAGCCAGGCCGCATGCGAACGGTTGTCGTCGTTCCGGATCGTCCAACCCGGCAAGTCCATGGCAGAGTTTGCTGAGTACTTCTCTCGCGCCAAGACTATATAATTCGAGATACGGGCACTCCCGTACTTGCATAATCGACTGCGTGTGCGCGCATTGCATGCCAATTCATGTAATTTTTGGAAGGTTGGAAATGGGCACCAACACCAACACCAGGGGCTGCCTCCACGGGAGGAAGATGATCCTGGATTTTGATGTTGGTGGTAATCTTTCGGCCGCCTAGAAAGCCCGAGTACGACCACCATCACCGAGATCGGGATCTTCTTCCCTCGGTGGAGGCACACCGCCGATATTGGTGTTGGGGTCAACCTCTAGGCCTGCGAAAATTTGAATGCCCAGAACGTTCCTCGATAGCGTCTGCGTTCGCGTCCCCTAAGGGAGGCACGGGATCCCACAATTGTCCGTTGGCGCTAAATGTCATTCGTGGTGCGTCCCACCGATCGGTGATGCGATGAAACAACAGCAGTTTGCATGTTTGAGTTTGTGTGACCCGCGGGCCCCACTAAAGCCGTGTCTCAAAAGTCATTCCTAGGGTGCCTCCTTCATGTGGCCGATCGATCCTTCAACACTTCCAGCAGTCCCGACTGCATGAGCTGTAGGGCACTCCAACACGTGCGCAAGGCACGGTGGCGGCTTTGCGTTCCAGGATCTGTTTCTGGCGGGCTGCACCTCGCTACACATCATGTGCTCATAGCCTACCCGGCCCTATAGGAGGGTGTGCGGAAGACGGGTGGGCGCCAGCTGCGCGGGGCCGGCGGATCATGCCCTTGCACGGCCCCCTGCCTCAGCAAGCGCGCGCGGCACGTGCAGAGATGCCAGCAGCAGCAGGAAGGACGGGAAAGCAGGGATCTATGGAGCCCGCGCCGCCCTCGCGCCGGCACGCGCGGCAGGCGCCGAGCTGCTGGCGCGGGAGGACGAGGTGAGCGATTCCAGCGCGGCTGAAATGCCGTTGGTCGCCTACCTCAGCCAGGCGCGGCATGCGCCCCTCGGACCCTCCGTGCACGGGGGGGCGCGCGGAAGGCGGTCTGGGCCGGCGCCAGCCGTGCGAGGGAGCGGAGCCGCGCGAGCCTGCCCGCTGGGCGCTCGGCCTGCTGCAGGGCACTGCGGCGGCTCGCCCTGCCCGGGGCTGCGGGAGGTGCCCCTGGCTCAAGTTGCCCCCAGCTTTTCGCTCGATTCTGGAGCCCCTGGGGCCCTCTTGTAAACCTCATAGGGAGTGGCCTGGAGGCCGTGGGGGCCTCCTTGGGAATTTCTGGGGGCGCCTCAGGCCAGGGGCACTTGCAACACCCGACTCTGGCCTTGGGTGGTGCCTCGTGTTCTGCTGCCGCGCTCGCCCGGTCTGTTGAGTGATTCCGCCCCCACTCCCACAGCGGGGACTCGAAAGTTCTTACTGATGTCGTTGCTGCTCGCTGCGCCGTTTTGCGAAGTTGGCTTCGGATGTCTTAGAGGAGGGTGTCTTGATCCACGTCTCGATTGTCTTAGCGGACGCTCGGGACTTCCATGGAGCTCCAGGAGGAGGCAGAGGAGGAGGAGGAGGAGGAGGAGGAAGCGAATGAGGGACACGGAAGACGAATCAGTAAGGGCCAGTATTTGGAAATTGGGCCCCCCCAGCCCTGGCCAGACACTTTGTCTGCCCAGGAGTGGTGCACACACTCTCCTATTGTGATGGCCTCCGGCCAGTGCCGCCGATCCGGGGGGCTCCAGATTCGGTTATCTTCGCGGCTCTGTGGCCTCCTCCCTCCTCGATTCTTCCGGTCCTCTTTCTTCTCCCTAGTTCTCGTTATCCTCTGCCTCCCGCTGACCCCTTTGCGTCGCGTGCACGCTCGCCTCTCCGTCCTCGCTCGTCCTCGTTCCCGCTGGGGGGGTGCCTGGAGAGGTCCCGGGGGGAGTCTGGGGAGAGTTCCGATGGGAGGGTCCTGGGGGCTGCAGCGGCCAGATCTGAGAGGGGGGGTCCCTGGGACCCCCCGAGACATCGTGGGGGCGCGCAAATCGTGAAGAAAACGCCAGATGGGGGACCGCCCCTCCCCCCCCCTCCCCCCCTTCCCCGGCAGAGCCACCTCGGCACGAGCAGGTGCCCGGCCGAGGGTCCAGCTCGCTGCCCGGGGACCTCCTCCTGGAGCGCGATCCGGCCACGGCTCGTCGATGCGTGCACGCCGTCGTCCGTGGCGGCGAAGGCGGGGCCCCCCACAAGACGAGACGTGTCAGAAAATGCATGCCGCCTCTCTCCCGCCTCCTCCCCCCCCCCTCCTCCCGCCACCTCCTCCCTCCCGAGCTTGAGCGAGTTGCCGTGGCGCCTTTCATGGCGCCTCGGGGTCTGACTTTGTGCACCTTGCCGGGGGGAGAGGCCCATCGCGCCCACCGCGCGGTTTTTCATGATGGTCTGCCTCTCTGGTTTTGTGGATCGTGCGGGTGTTCTAATCAGCTTCAGCTCCGCGGTCTTGCGGGAGCCTGTTGTGCCAAGGACGATCCGCCCAGACCGCTCACGAAGGCGCGGCGAGATCATCTCGACCGCATTGCTCGAGGACTATGGCCTAAGGCTCCGCTCCCTCCTCCTCCCATCCCTCCAGGAAGAAGGAGCACCAGACGCCGATGTTGCGCGGATTTTGGCTCCGCCTGGGACCCTGATCCGCCAGTTGTGTGCCCTGGAGGCGGGGATCCAGGAGGAGGAGGAGGAGGAGGAGGAGGAGGAGGAGGAGGGGATCGATGAGGAGGGGGAAGGGAGGCGGAGTGGGACGAGGAAGCTCTTCCGGATCAGCTCATCTGCACCTGCGCTGGACTGCAAAGGGCGTGCCGAGTGCAGTCAAGACGCTCGCAGGGCTCACTGTTCCCTAGGTCCTTGCATTGTTGCTCCTGTAGCGCTCCTCGTGCACCCAGGCGCCTGTGGGACCCCCCCCAAAGGGATTCGTTCCTGATTCCGTTGTCATTGTGGTAACAGCTTGATTGCAGGTGAGTCCAGACTGGCTGATCAGAACCATCGTCAGAATTTGGCGGGTATATGGCTCCATGGTCTACATGGGCGCTGGCCAGACTATCATCATCCGATATCCGTCGTCTTAGAGTTGTCGCGGTCGTTGTTTTGTAGGATCGCGCGGGCTTCGGGCACATATGATGCCCACAGGGGGCACGATTTTTTTTGTCCCCGCTCTCGTTCCCCCGAAAGCCGTCGACGAGAATAACATTCCCGCGCCCAGATACGTTCGAGCTGCATCTCATAGTCATAGGCGAAGTGAAAGGGCGTGGTTGCCCACTGCTGACCACGCATTGTGGTTGGAGCTGCGGCCAGACCATGATGAAAGGAAGAGCGCGTGGCTCCCATGGTTCAACAGGCTCTGGACTGATACGTAGACTTGCTGCGCTGCAGCGCCAGAGTAGCAAGAATCAATGGCAGCAGTTTCCTCCGCCTTTCATCCACATTCCTCTTGCCATTGCTTCCTCGTCATCGTGTAGGAGGGTATCGCACATCACCTGTGGTCCACTGCGGTATCGCACAACGCAGCGCCCCAACTGGCTCCTCCCGCCCCGCTCCCTCCGGCAATGCCGCCCCCTCCGCTCTCCTTCCAGGGTGCCGATGCCTTCGTTGGGCAGAAGGGCAGCCTTTCCACACCCAATAGCATACAGTGAAGGCCCATGCCGAGAAACACCCTGCTCGCCTGCAGGATGCCCTGGGTGTCTTGGGTTTCGATAGTGTCGCTGTTGAAAGCGTGACGTTCCCACACCGAAAATCCATGGACGTCCTGGGATCTCAGGGTAGCATACCATGTTCTCTGGGTTGAGGGGCAGCAAGCTCGATCTGCTCTCGAGCGGGCCACCCGCGCGGATTCCTTGGGGCGGCAGTCCCAGGCGGCACTGACCAGCGAAACTTCGGGGAGCGAGCGGTGATGCTTTGAAGGCGGACGGTGTGGACGGGGACAGGAGCACGCCGACCATACACTTCCACCGATCCTGGAGGGCGGTCGCATGCACCGATCCTTGATCTGACCTGGCCAGGATCGGTGTAGGTGTACAGCTGGCGTCCTCCGACGCTCGAGTGCCGCTCACGTGTGCGCGACCACAGTGCGCCGCCGCGCGTGTTCCCCCTGTTCTCGCCGCCGCCCCGGCTCGAGGTGCGTCCCGCGCATATGTGCGCGGTCCCAGATGCGCCGCCGCTGCGATGTCGGGCGCCGCGTCCTCGTCCGCCCCACGTGGCAGTCCCGACGTCAACGAGCGGCGCGCCGCTCTGGGGAGTTTCGTGGAGCACCCGCAGCTCACGCAGATCAACGCGATGCTGAAGGCGATTAACACCGGAGACCGCATCATAAAGGGTCGGGTTGAGATGTTCGCCTGCGCTCGGAGGCGCCTGAGCCAGCATCAGCAGCAGGACCTTCAGCGTCGAGCACCAGACAGCATCACCAAGTCTCCCCTGGGCCCGATGTCCTCGGACTCTGGGCAGATCTTGCTGACCAATTTGAGGTCTTTGATGTCTCTGCTTTTTCCAGACTACGACTGCACAGGCCTCACACCGGGTGACTTCGAGTTGTGCGCAGACAAGCATTCCGTGGTCAACAGAATTAACCATTCGCTTGCTGCTGCAGTTGATCGTGTGCACCAAGGCTTTCTGTCAGAGTTCTGGCAGGTCGTTCAATCCGTTATAGACTTAATGGGCTGCGACATGTACGAATTCAAGCCCAAGTCGGGTACATTTGAGCCTGCGGACAAGTCTCTCATGTCGTTTCACTATTTCTTTCTGGACCTTGCACAAGAGCGGATATTGTTTGTGGGGAGCGTGACGAAGAGTCATGGCGGCGGTGTGGATTCGGACAGCGACGCAGTGCTTTCAGGGAATTCGGGTTCCGAGAGCGGCTCCCAAGGTGTAAAGAGTAGCGACGTGGGCTCGAGTTTGCAAGAGGGCGAGTACGCGTTCAGCGAAGCGAGCCAGGAAGATGCGATGTTGGACTGAGCTTCATAGCCAGGAAAATGCGATGTCGGACTGAGCTTCGTGGAGGGGTCATGGAGCTGAAAAAACGACGTGGCGCCAGGGAGGGTAGTCTTGTGGGAGTGTTTGGAGTGAAAGGGCAGTCAGCCAATGCGGGTCGATTCATCGAGTTTCCGTTGCGTGAGATCCAGTGTTTTCCTCATGGTTCCCTCTTGCTCATGTCAGATGTCCTGCCGTAAATCAGGCCCTTCCTCCTGCTGCGCACCGCCATTGCACGTCGTACCATCCGCGCAGTACCTCCTTCACCTCATCGTCTTCGTTTGTCTGTTTGCCACCTCCTCTCCATCCCAGGGCCACAGGAAGAACCACCGCTTTTAAGCGGAGGAGGAGGTGGAGGTAGAGGAGGACGAGGGGACGAAGGCGAGAGGGACGTGGAGGAGAAGGGTTCGTTGCGAGGACGAGGATGTGGAGGCGAAGGAATGGGGGAGGGGGAAGAGACGGGGGAGGAGGGGGAGGGATTGGGCTAAAGTGGAGCAGGAGGAGGAGAAGGACAAAAGACGAGGACCATATTGTCGATACAATGTGTTATCCCAGGCCCAAGGATGAGGCCCCGCCAGCCCCGACAATCCTGCCGTCCACAGCCCCCGTCGTCACGCCAAAACTGTCCATCCCAATTCTGGGGGCTTGGTTTCGGGGTTCATCCCCGGGGCTTGCTGCAGCTCGGCACTCGCAGCCGCTGGGGACGAGCTGGGAAAATGGAGAGGAGGTGGGAGGGAGGGGTGCGCGGGGAGGGACGGACGAGGGGGAGGCGGAGGCCGCAGGGAGGGGGAGGTGCAGGCACGGGGAGAGGCCGACAGGCTCCGGAGGACCGGCCCGCCGGCTCCTGGGCCTCTCCTCCTCCTCCTCCTCCTCCTCCTTCCTCCTCCTCTCCTCCTCCTCCTCCTCCTCCTCCTCCTCCTCCTCCTCCTCCCTCCTCCTCCTCCTCCTCCCTCCTCCCTCCTCCCTCCTCCTCCTCCTCCTCCTCCTCCTCCTCCTCCTCCTGCTCCTCCTCCTCCTCCACCCCGGGGCGAGCCCGGCCTCTTGCGGGAGGCGCGCCCGACGAGGCGCAGCAAAAGCCGGAGCGTCGAGCCCCCGCCCCCGATGCTCCGGGCCCGGCTCGCCCTCTCCGCGGTCCGCCGCGGCGGGCCGCCCCCTTGGTGCAGGCGATCGCAGACGTGGATTTTAAGGGGGCGTGGATTAGCGACGGGTCCCGTTTCCACTGGGAATCGCGGGTTTCCGCCGCCGCGCGAGGCGGCACGGGCCGCATTTTGGGGAGGGCACCCTCCCCCGATCCATGGATTTGGCGACCGCGCGCCAGATCCATGGATCGCTAATCCATGTTTGCGCGCCCCCGAATGGTTGGCGAGCCTCGAGTTTCGCTGGCCGGGGCCCGGCTCGCCCTCCCCGCGGCGGGGCCACACGAGCGTGGCGATCCTCGATCTCCGGGTTCCCGTGCATGGCATGCGCCAGGAAAGTGCACAGAGGCACCCTCCGGTGGATTGTGTTCTTGGGCCTCATGGGGAGGATTCGGTGCACAGGTCTCCACTAAGACATGAGCTGGCGGTCTTATAGACCGCAGCCTTCCCTTGAAGGCACAGGGGAAACTCGGCGGTGTGCGTATCTCTCTCTCTCTCTCTATCTATAGTTATGCATACACATGTGTAAACACATGTCTTCCGCTTCGTATTGGAATATTTATATATACACATACACACATATTCTCGCAGTCGCGTGTGGAGTCGCGTGTGGAGTCGCGTGTTCTCGTTTCGTATTGGCAGCCGCGTGTGGAGCCCATCCGCTCCAGGTTCCGACGCCCCGCGCGCGCCTGCCTTCGGCAGCCCGGCTCTCCTGGCGGCCGGCGCGCAGCGGGCGCGCCCGCCTCCCTCCTTCTTGGGGCCTGGCGAGGCGACCGCCAGAGTCGCTCGCCGGTGCGCATGGTTCCTCGAGTCGGCGGCGCGCCGGGGCAGGCCGGCCACAACTGGGGGAGCCGTAGCACCCTCACCAGCCTCGAGCGTATCCCTATCCCTAAGATAGACACGCCAAAAGGCGATGACAATCTTAGGGGCTCGCCCTCAAAAATGAGGGAATCCCGAAGATTGGCATCGTGATGAGGAGGTGCCCAGCATAGGGATAGGGATATGTTCCAGGCTGGTAATACCCCCTTGGGGGGCCCATCGATTTCGACACCCCTCTCGAGAGATCGTCGGCGCGATGGGCTCCTCCGGGGGGGTGAGGACCACAGCTCCCCCAGTTATGGCTGGTCGGCGAGGGGGGAAGTGATAAGTCGGGCACGCCCCTCCACAGGAGGAAGGGTAGTCAAAACATAGTCCGGGTACGATTTCCCTACCAAGTGTTCCACCACTGTCAGGTGTTTGGGGCCATTCTTTGCCGGTCGCCCCAAATCCGCCTGCCTGCAGGGGACATGCCGGACCTAAGGGAAGTGGGAGGGGACATGGCTTCTCAGAGGGCAGTGGGGCCTCCCAGAAGCCCTCCGGCCTCCCGGGGAGCCCTCCGTGGCTCGGGAGCCTGCTGTCCACCGCCAGAGTATGTCCACGTCCACGGCTTCGGAGTCGTGCCGTGAGGTCTCGAGGAGCGGCGGACACGGAGGTCTGCCCGCCCGCGTGGGCGGGCAGGTGCAGTCGGCCCGGATTGGTAGGTCGACCCTGCCAGCTCAAGTGTGCCGTTGCGTCCCGTGCCTCGCGGCACGTGCCTTCTCGCACTCCTGTGGCGATGCGGCCTTCGGAAGGGTCTTGCGTCCTCTCGCGCGCCCTCTCCAATGGAGTCCGACTGTATCTGCCCGCCCGAGCGGGCGGGCAGATATCGGGGAAGCGTAAGACCCGGGTTTGCCAGGACTCGGGTTCGCCATCGTTTTTTGGCGACCGCGCCTCGGATTTTGACGAGGAGGAGTTTCGTGGGATGTCTGCAGCGGGAGGCCCCGTCAAAATGCAGGCTCGGCCTCGTCATTTTTTTGACGACCTCGTCGGGGATTTTCGAGTCACCTGTACCCAGGTCTTACGTTCCCCTGAAGACATCCATATCCACATCCACCGCTCCCCGAGCCCTCGGAACACGACCCCGCGGCAGCGGATGTGGTCACACCTCATGGCGGAGCACACCGAGAGGGCCCCGCCCCGCCGGCCCTCCCCCCGGGCGCCGCCCTCCCCTCGAGGCCTGGCGCTCCCTCCCGCGGGCGCCTCGCCGTACGTCGGGTGAGGTCCTCTGCGGGAGGAATCATCAGAAATAGTCAAGACTAGTCAGTGTACGATTTTTTTTTTTCTTTAAAAAAAATAATAATAATAATAAAAAAAAAAACTGTTTTGAACTTCTTGTTTGCATGCCTTTTCTGGTTGTGTTGTGTCTTCCGCTGCAGATCCGTCCCCGTCGGAGGACGCGCCCGACCCGAGCCCCTCGCCCGACCCTGCGAAGACGCCCGCGCGCTGCAGCCGCAGGCCGCGAACGTGGCGGCCTCCCTCAGCGGGCAGCGTGCGGGCCCTCGGCCGCCCCCGGCCGCGCGCGCGCGGGCGGGCTCCGAGGCGGCCTTCCGATGCCAACGCGAGGCCGCCAGCGGGAGGCCCTCCTCCTCCTCCTCCTCCTCCTCCTCCTCCTCCTTCTCCTCCTCCTGGACTGCGAGCAGGACTGGACCAGCCCCTTGATATCCGCCACAAGAGCTATGTCTTAGGACAGTGCTGGACGCTGGTGAACGAGGAGCTGCGCAAGTCTACGTCCTTCAAGCCCTCGCTGAAGTTGGGCAGCAACCCACACACGGGCTACCTCCACATGCACGACACGGAGACCGAGGAGATCTACGACCTCGTTCGCTTGGTCTCCAATGCCGAGGCTGGCGGTACCACGAACACGTTCACTGTTTCGCCGCTCGCGGACATGGAGAAGTGGGGCATCCCGAAACAGTTCTGCGATGCTCTCCCCGAGCGTGTGGATGCGCTGGTGCGCCGCTCTGCCTGACGGTCTCCCCAGCAGGATTCGGACGTGCATGCAGTACGTCATGTCCTCGGCGGCCAGGGGAAGCGCCGCCGTCTCCTACATTTTCCAACGGCTCAGCTAGAGCACGTGGGCGCTGCTGAGATCGAGGTCTCGCCTTGCAGCTTTGTGTTCTCTGCTGTCTCTTCTCCCTCCGCCGCCCCTTTGCTGCATTTGCTTTCCTGTCCTCTCCATCCGCGGTGGTCTCACCCATTTTTGCTTTCCTCCGAATTCAGCCTCGCCACTTGGAACAGCGCAGCGCTGTTCGGCAGTATTCACGGTGATCATTCTCGCCAGTGCCGTAAATGTGCTTTGTTCCGACGCCTTGTTGAGCAGTATACCGTAGTTCTCACGCAGGAGACGCATGGCACGACAGCCGACCTCGCTTCTCTCGATCGCGAATTCCCGTCTTTTTTCCATTGTGGCTCCTTTTGCTCTGATCCTAATTCGGGGGGTGTAACTATATCTATTGCCAGGGAGTTTTTAACTAGGTTCCAGGCTGCCCGAATCCATGAGATTGCTCCGGGACGCGGTGTCGTTCTCCATCTTGCGGGCAATGCGGGGTGCCTCACCATATCGAGTGTGCATGTGGATCCGAAGCTGTCCACGACGCCAGCGCGAGAATTTCTGGGTCGAGTGCGCCGTGCTTTACCTCCTGTCGCTGCTTCTCTCTGCGTCGTCGGAGGGGATTGGACCTTCCGGGAGGTCGACGAGGTACGGCAGCCCTTGGACGGCAGCGCCCCGGCGATGATTGACGATTCTCCTCTCCTGGTTAATTTCTCACATTTGTTTGGCGAGTATGTTGAAATTCCTCAGCCTGATTTTACTCACCGAACGCGTATCGGAGACGTTGTGCACAGCGTTGCTCGCCTGAACCGTGTGTATTGGAACGTGCCGACAGGCGAAGCTCTCGATTGGCATGCGCGTTCTGGCACCATTGGGGTTGCTCATGATCTCTCGACTCCCTCCGACCACGTGCCAGTATACGTGCAGCTCTCGTCAGGTGGTGTGCGAGCTCCGTCTTTACCGCGATGGGTCACGGAGCATCCCGAGTTCGGGACTATCACGGATGCTATTTTGATGGAGGTTGGCCTCCCCGCTGACCCCCTCGAAGCCCTCCGCGATGTCAAGGGTGCGATGTACGCTGCGAAGGACGCCCTCACTCGTCGCATGTTCTTGTACGGTGCTCGCACGAACAAGGAAGTGATCGCAGTTTGTCTTCGTCTCATGCGTATGCACAGGTGTGGGAAGCATAGTTCTACGCGTGCATGTTGCGATGCTGTCCCAGACCTCCGCCGGTTTTACGACGATGCACGGCATATTTTCGTAGATTATGTTGGATTTCACAATTTCCTAGCTGAGAAGAACTCCGATATGCTTATGGATGCGCTCTTGGAGATTAGCCCGCAGTCCGCATTGCCGAAGAAGTGCGCCTCTCTGCATCGGCACGACGACCCAGCGTGCTCTCGACTGCATGCGTTGTTAAAGTCCTGGTCACCAAAGCGTCGCAAGCTTGCCACTTATAGCGTTGGGGACCCCACCACCAAACAGCCCATCAGCATCGAAGAGAGCGCTCGCAATCTGGCTACATTCTGGGGGCCTGTCCACTCAGCCGATGATGCGTCCCAGGGCCCTCTCTACGGCAGTGTCTGGCACGAACTCATGGCAGAGGTGCAGTCCGTGGCACCCGGTATTCTCTGGACGCTCTCAGAGGATGAGTTCTACGGCGTCCTAGGGAGTAAGTCGAAGGACACTGCTGCTGGACCCGACGGAGTCCCGTACAGTGGATGGCGCCTAGGAGGAGAGATTGCACGCAGGGCCCTCTACGGCGCTTACTGCGCTATGCTGGCTGGCTCCTCGTTGCCACGTGGATTCAACAATGGAATTGTTGTTTTCCCTCCCAAAATTTATGTGGATAGCGTTGGCCCTGAGTGCGTGCTTTCCCCCTCCCAGGCCAGGACCCTCACGTTGTCCAACACTGATAACAAGGTGCTGTCCGCGTGCTTAGCCGTACCTTTCATGAAGCAGGCGCAGTATTCTATTGTGTACACGCAGCGCGGATTCATCAAGGGGCGCAACATGCTGGACAACATCGTACAGCTTGAATCTTGGTTGTTGGAGTGGGCCTGCCACCGAGATATGAAGGATTCGGGGGTTATTCTTCTGGACCTGAAGGCTGCTTTCCCATCGATCTCACACCGTTGGATGATCGACTCGCTGAGGGGGATGGGCGTTCCGGCGTACATCGTTCGCGCCGTGCAGAATCTCTACTTGGACATTTACGTAGAGGTGCAGTTCGGTGGAGGACGGCACCCTGGTTACTGGATCACCCGCGGAGTCAAGCAAGGTTGTCCATGATCTGGATTGTTATTTTTGTTTTGCTTCGACCCCATCCTTCGAGGACTCCAGCGTCGTATCGATGTTCATCCGGGTCGCTCTCTTGCATTTGCTGACGACGTTGGCGTATGTTCAGGAAATTTGTTCGTCTCGGTGCCAGTCGTATTGTTATGGTTTTGTCAGACTGCAATCGTATCTGGCCTTGTTTTGAACCTTCAGAAGTGTTGCATTGTATTTGTGAGAGACATTGACACCCAGGACATCGTAAAAGCTTTCCGGAAACTGCACCTACGAATTCGGAGCATGACAGTTTCACGTTGCGGTAAGTATTTGGGCGTGTATGTTGGGCCTGGAGGATTGGAGAAATCTTGGTCGGGCCCTCGTCGAAAGTTTCTCCAGAGGACCTCGCATGTAAGGAGCCTCCGGCTGAGCATGGCGCAGAATATACGGGCATATAATGTGTTTGCTTTCCCTGTGCTCTCTCATGTCAGCCAACTGTACCCCGTCCCCAAGAGTATCCACGACGCCGAGCACATCTGTTTGCAACGACTCACAGCGGGCCCTTATCATGCTGTACCTTCTTACCTTCTGCGGCAGATTGACTCTTTGGGTATTCGGGTGGCTCCCCGAGCCCTGTCTCCGAGCTGTCGTGCTGCCATGTTCCGCGCTGCGGCCAACAGTCGTGAGTTTGGTGACGCCCAGGCCCGTTTTCATCGTATACGGCATTCTGATGTTGATGTTCTGGCAATCCCTCGTCATCGAGACTGGCTTGAATCGAGTATCACATACAACATGATCCAAAATTACAACAGCATCGTCAGCATGAGCCCAGAGCTAGGCCAAGAGGAGATCCCCGACGTCCAGGCGAAGGTTACGACATGTCTTGCTCGACTCCTGAACCTCCCCAGCGCTGCCAGTCTCCTGCTTCCTAGGATTCGTTATTTTTCTCCCTGGGGCCCCCATGCCTGTTGCCGAACGTGTAATTTTAAATATGAAACTCGCCTCCCAGAAGTTCGGGCCATTCGTTTGCACTGCCATCCTTAAGTCTGTGTGCAATGGATGGCCGACCACACGCAGGTACAGGATGTGCACACGACCGTGCAGGTTTGGCTGCGGCGTGGAGGCGGGAGACAGGATCGATCATTATTTTAGTTGCCCCCTCGTTGTCTCCCTCTTGTGTCGTCTGTTCCGTCCCCTTCCCCGTTGCTATCCTCAATGAGATTTCTCGCGACGCATTTTTGTACATGATCTTAGCTCTCTAACGATGGAGGGGCTGCACGCTTGTCTCCTGATGCACGATATCCTTCTCTCTGTTTACAACACACTCCGGATACAGGATCGCCAAGGCCCCGACGGAGTCGAGAGCATGATCCGAGCTCGCGCCAGAGCGATCGCAAGACGGTCGGCTCGTGCTCGTGCGACGCTCTCCGGCTAGCTTGTGGGCGATGTATGATTCCTTGAGTGCTTGGTTATAGCCCCCATGAGGGGAAGCGGACATTGGCCCCCGGACGGGCTCCCTTGAGGCGGTGCGCTCCTCCTTCTCCTTCTCCTCCTCCTCCTCCTCCTCCTCCTCCTCCTCCTCCTCCACCTGCGCCCCCAGACCCGCCGCCTCCGGAACGCGCGCGCGGCCGGTGCCGGTCGCCCTCCGCGGCGGCCGCAGCGCCGGCCATCGCCGGCCGGCCAGGGCCGCGCTGCGGCGGTTCTCCCGGCCGCCAGCGGGAGGCCCTCGGGGAGGCCCCCGGGGAGGCGCTCGGGAGGCATCCCGGGGTCGGGGGCGGCCGGGAGGGGCGTGATGATTGGGGGGGGGGATCTCGTGGCGGGAGCCGTGACATCTCCTCAGATTTCAGGGCGCCTCTTCTTGTTTCATGACGTCCCTGGCCCCCCCTTGCGCCGCGCACGTGCCGCCGGCCATGATTTGCGCCCCCCCCCTCTTGGACGCCCCCCTCTTGGCCGCCCCCGACCTCGGGGAGGCGCTCGGGAGGCATCTGGGGAGGCATGGGGAGATCTGGAAGCTCGCCCGCGGAGGTCCTCCCAGAGTGACCTCGGAATGCTTCGGGCCCTCGGGGTGCGCTCCTTGCGGCGGTGGCGCCCCGTCGGTGGCGAGCCAAAGCCTCGGCGGCCGCCGGCGGTCCGAGGTCGCAGGGCGGAAGGTCAGGGGCAGCGGCAGG